ATAGCAGCCAAGTGGACCTTAACAGATGAAAGAGACAGGCCTTGGAATTTGGGATACAGAAGGTAGTCCAGGATTAACTGCAGTGAGGCCCGCTCGGGCCAAATACCTTTATTCAAGGTTCAGCATGTGAACCGCTTCCATTTGGCCAGGTGGAGGGCTTTCTGCTGCCCAACAGGACCTGTTGGATACCGGACGAACATCTTGCTCCTCTGCATTTAACCATGTAGCAGCCAAGATGTCAGGTACAGCGCTGCGAGGTTTGGGTGCAGATGACTGCCGTGGTTCTGGGACAGCAGGTCTGGTTGGAGCAGCAGCTGTAACCGGGCGGCCACCAAAAGGTCCAGCAGCGTGCAGAACCAGTGCTGGTGCAGCCAAGCCGGCGCTATGAGAATCACCTTTGCCCAGTCCTGCTTGATCTTCATGAGGACTCTATGGATTAACGGCACTGGAGTGAAGGCATACATGAAGGCCCCCGACCACGGGAGCAGAAAGGCATCTGACAGGGAACCTCTGTCGATCCCCCGAATTGAGCAGAAAATGTGGCACTTCCTGTTCTGCCTGGAAGAGAAAAAATCCACTGGAAAATGATGCTGATCACCTTCAGATGGAGTGACCATTCATGGCGAGACGAGAAGGTCCTGCTGAGGCAATCTGCCAACGCATTCCTGGCCCCAGGGAGGTGCGCAGCTAAGAGATGAATGGCATGCTGAACACAGAAGTTCCACAGCCTGAGAGCATCTTGGCAAAGGACTGACGATTGGGCTCCACCTTGCTTTTCGATGTAGAACATTGTGGCAGTGTTGTCCGTCAGGATCTGAACCAACCTGCCCTTTATATGAGGCAAGAAAGCTTGGCAGGCCAAGCGAACCGCTCTGAGCTCTCTGACGTTTATGTATAGGAAGCGACTGTTACTCAACCAACAACCTTGCGTGCTGAGATTTCCCAGGTGGGCTCCCCACCCCAGATCTGAGGCATCGTAGACTAGGGTAACCAACAGGGCCGGGGCCACAAAGGGGACTCCCTCCAACATCGATAGGGGATTCAAACACCATGTGAGTGACGACAGTATGTGGTCCAGAACCTTTACTACAAGGTCTATGTTGTGTCTGTTGGGGATATAGACCAACCACAGCCACGCCTGTAGAGGCCTGAGGCAAATCCACGCATGCTGGACCACGTAAGTACAGGCTGCCATGTGACCCAACAATCTCAGGCACGTGTGAATGGCGGTGAGAAGGTGGGCTCGCATGCACGAGATAATGTCTGTCATGGCTCAGAATCGGGCTTCGGGGAGGAAGGCTCTGGACCAAGTGGAGTCGAGGACTGCTCCAATGAACTCTACGCGCTGCACTGGAACTAAAGTTGATTTTTTTCTCGTTTATTAACAGACCTAAATCGTGACAAGTGGAGCGAACCAGGTCAAGGTGCTGCTGCACCTGATCCCAGGATTGGCTTTTGATGAACCAGTCATTGAGGTACAGATAAATCTGAATACCCCAATGCCTCAGGTAAATGCCACTGATGGCATACACTTTGTAAACACTCTTGGGGCTGACAAGAGACCAAAGGGTAGTGCCAGGAATTGGAAATGGTGCTGGCTCAGCATAAAATAGAGGAACCATCTGTGTCCTTGAAAGATGGAGATATAGAAATATGCTTCCTTTAAGTTGAGGGCGACATACCAGACTCCCAGATCCAGGGAGGGAATAATGGAGGCCACGGAAACCATGCGGAACTTCAACTTTTTGAGATGCTTGTTGAGGTGTCGCAGGTCTAGGATGGGTCGCAGGCCCCCTTTTGCTTTCAGGATTAGGAAATAATGGGAGTAGAACCCTTTTTCCCTCATTTCCCGAGGGACCTCCTCTACTGCCCCCATATTGAAGAGGTTGTCTACCTCCTGGGTGAGGAGTTGCTCATGAGAAGGGTCCTTGAAGAGGAATGGGGAAGGGGGGTGGGGAGGAGGGGAGGCTAAGAACTGTAGGATGTAGCCTGAGAATATTACATTGAGCACTCAACGGTCCGAGGTTATTCGCAACCACGTTGACCAGAAGGGGCGCAGACAGTTGAGGGAAAAATAGGAGGGTGGATCTTGGAATATGACTGGGGTGTAATCCTTGAGCACATCCTCAGAATGCCTGTGTTTGGCTCCCATGGTGTCTTGAAGGACTGGGCTGAGCAAGCGAATGGGAGGACGAGGGGCATCGTCATTTAAACCCCTTGTCTCTGTCCTTTCTCCTATAGGTGCCCTTCTGGGGAGGTCCCCAGGACCGAGGAGGAGAGAACTGCTTCCTAGCCTGCTGTGGAGCGTGAAGGCTGGCACAGGAGTCTTTAAGGTCATGTAGCCTTGTGTCCCTGAGCTCAGAGAAGAGCCCTGCTCCCTCATACGGGAGGTCCTGGAGAGTGGGCTGCAGCTCCTGGGATAAACCCAAGGATTGTAGCCAAGAGCTGCGTCACATCACCACTGCAGAGGCAACAACCCTGGCCACCAAGTCCGCCTAATAAATCTTTCTGCCAAAAAGATCCAGTCTCTTGGCATCTTTATTCTTAGGCATGCTGCTCACCTGTCCCTGCCTGTCCCTCTTGTTGACTGTGGACACAACCAGAGACCCAGCAGCTGGGTGCGTACAGAGGTATTCAAACCCCTCTGTGGGGACATAATACTTCTTTTCCGCCCTTTTGGAAGTGGGCAGAATGGAAGAGGTCTGCCACAACGCCTTAGCGATCTTGAGGACCCATGGGTGGACTGGCAGCACGATGTGGGCCTGGGTGGTGGAAGATATGACATTGAAAAGGTCATCAGATTGCTCCGCCAACTCCTTAATTTCCAGGTTTAAGTTGTCAGCCACTCTCTTAAGGACAGCTTGGGGGGGAGACTATCAGTCTGGGAGGGCCCTTCCACTGCTTCATCTGGCGACGAAGACGACGAGAGCATCGCAGGTGGAGGGGTGGGTTCCCCTTTCCCTTCTGGGGACGGCTCTCTAGGTGTTGACGCCCGTTGTGCTGTCCCTGTGTTAGATTCCGCACTGTGCTTTGAACCCGGTGCTGGGAGTGGTTTGTCCAAGGCGGCCAGGGATGAGTGGTGGGAGTATGGAACCAGCATCATTGGTATGCCCCAAGGATTCCAACAAGGCCATTGAGCAGGCCACTGGCCCTGCTGCCATGCCGCCACCGTGGATGTCGTGCTGGTCTCTGGGGCCGACTGTGATACATGCTTCCTTGACGAGGGATTGAATTCCGGCTCTGACTTGGACCAGTCTCCTTCCAGTGACCAAGGCGGGGCGCTGGAGGCCTGTCTGCTGGCTGACCCTTGCAGGAGACCAATGCCTAGAGTGTGGGGATCGGTATCTGTCCATCAGGTGGTACCGGGATGGAGGAGACCTGTGCCGCGATGGTGAGCAGTCCCACACCGGTGGGGATCAATGCCTGGGAGATCATCTAGGTGATAGGGATCTGCGCCAGGGTGATCTCTGGTGAGAGGTTGGCCGATACTGAGAGTATGGAGATGAGTGCCTCGATTCTGGTGTTCCATGCCTGGTAGAAAGAGAGCATGGTGCTGGAGACCGAGGTTGTGGGGCTGGGTCCTAAGTCAGGGGGATGCTTTTTGGGCACCGACGAGGGGGAACGGTGCCGGGCTGAGTGCTCCACACCAACACCAAAGTGCTGGAAGTGGAGTCCAACCGGGATTTCTCTGATGTCGGATGAAGTGCAGCCTCCATGAGGAGGGCTTTCAAGCGGATATCCCACTCCTTCTGGGTTTTGAGACAAAAGTTCTTGCAAATCCTGCACTTGTTCTTTATATAGGATTCTCCCATGCACTTCGAACAGCTGCTGTGGGGGTCACTAACAGGCATTGGTCTGTTGCATGATGAACACAGTTTGAAGCCTGGGGAACAGGGCATGCCCTACTCTGGGGCAAAGTCCCAGCCAGGACTCTAGCAACTAAACTAACATTTAACTTAATGGCTAACTAACTACCTAAGAACTATATACAAAGAAGATAGACAATGGGCTATTAAGAACCGCTAACACTCTTGCAATGCAAGGTAAGGCGCTCTGACCAACTATCATGGGTGGTAAGAAGGAACTGAGAGGGCGTAGGGTTGGTAGCGCCTAATATACCAATGCATGAGCATAGCACTCCAGAGGGTGCCATTGCCAACCCTACGGATACTGCTAAGGTAAAAATCTCCGATGACTGCGCACATGGGCGTGCACACACCTAGAATGGAATCGACATGAGCAAGCACTCGAAGAACTATTACTCTGATTCATCAAAACACTAAAGCATATACTTAACTTCAAGTACGGTATTTTATTGAATTGGGACCTATGTGATCACAGAACACCTAGTTCCAAGTATAAGTTTTACGTGCAGAGTAGACCCTGAAGGTTAAAAAGAAAGAATCATATACTTAAGGGAACTCCAAGAGTGAATTCTACCATACTCCTATATAGGTAAACATGACCTGCTCTACAGTGCATTGTGTTTTAACCTCTGCTCTTCTGTGCTCCTGAACTAGAAAACTGTTCCACTGTATGGGATGAGTCATACTGATATAATAGACCTTAACTGCTTCTTCAGACTCACTATGTATAGATGCCTTATGGGCTATAATTCTTGCCCTTGCATACTAGAAGAAATACTGGGTTACAATTTATTTTTTAAAAAGGTGGTACTTCCTCCATTCCTGAACTTGGAGGTTCTGACCCCGCTTTTAAAAGAAATAACAGAAATCATAAACGGCAATTTATTTTGACTTTGGTTAGAAGTGACAGCAAAAGAAGGGACCAGGAACGGAACCCCACATGTATGTGCCCAAAGGGGCAAATTCATTTGCACAGAGGGCCACCACAAGGCCTACACACCATTTAAATCCCACTTGAACTCTGTTTCAAGGACTTAAATTAGCCTTTATGCTCATCCCTCTGCACAGAGATGAATTTCACCCTAAATAAGCAACATGCCCTGCATATCACAGAAAGGCTTCCAGTGTTTTTACCTGTGATCCAATCAGGTTTGGAGAGGGTGCAGTAGATTGCTGCTGCTGATGGTGGTGCTGCTGTATTTGTTGTAGTGGTTGCTGTTGTGGATTTTGTAGTTTGTTTTCTGACTGTACCAATGGCTGTATTTGAAATTTATTATCTGGCTGTTCCTGCTTTACTATCAGATTCTTCCGCAGCTGTTCCACCACTCTCTTCTATCAGAACAGAAACACAAACAGAAATAAATGGTTATTGAATTTAGTTGCATATTTATAAGAGGACAATGCTTTAGGACCTTTTTTACTGGATTATGGTGGCAAAACACAAAGGATTCATACTGTCACTCTGGTAAGAGAAACAGGTCATATGTTTAGAAATAAAAGAAATCCTGACCCCAGCACTGCCTAAAATAAACCCTTTCCTCCTGCACCGCTTAAGAAGAAAGAGTAAAGTGTTTACTGAAAAAGTCTTGTTCAGAAGTTCCAGCAGGATTTCTTTTTTTAGGATTTGGGAAGCAGTGTGGTCTAGTGGATAGAGCACTGGATTGGGACTCATGAGATGGGGGTTTTATTCCCAACTCTGCCATTGGCCTAATGGGTGATTTGCCTCCATGCTTTGGAGCAGGGACTTTAAGTTTAGCAGGGGTGTGGCCCTAATGATAGAGATGGGCTTTTTGCTGTCCCTATGAAAACTCACCAAAATTTGGCCAATTCATAAGCTTCTGAAAAATCTCAGTTGGCACATGCTCAATAGAGACTTGTTAAGAGTCTCAGAGCTAAATTCTCTGAAGATTCCATCTGCATTGAGCATGTTCCATCCCCACACAGCACCTACATGTTAGCTAGACTGCACATGCACTATGCCTACAAAGTGAACAGGTTCCAGCTTGCAGCTGCAGGGATTGAGCAGGGTTTTCCCTGCAGTTAGTCCTCCCGACAGCTGGGGAGTCTCTATGGTGCCTGGCACAGGAAGTGAGAAAAGGGATACTGTTCCTTCTGTGCTCTCAATGCTCCCCACCGCTGGCACCCAGGAACCAGCCCAACTTAAATGCAAAGGGGTTAGAATCAAGCACGAGGGGTAGTGATGCAGGGCAGGGGAATAAGGGCAGAGCACACGGAGGTGGTAAAAGGAGCCTGGAGAAGAGGGAGGTTAGGAGCAGGAGCCAGGAGGGGCAAACAGGAGCAGAAGGGGAACAGGTACAAAAGGGTTAGGACCCTGACAGAAGAGTGGGAGCCAGGGATGGGAGGGGAGAGGAACAGAGGGGAGTCATGGGCAAGAGGTAAGGGCAGGAGCAGAGGGATGGGAAGGAGCTGGGGAAATGGGGGATAGGAGCAGAAGGAGACAGACAGGCTGGGGACACTAAAATGATTAGAAACCATTTCCCTACAGAATCTGGAATTGAATCCACAACTGCTGAGTTTTGACACTCCTTTGCTCTCTAGCAAACAGCTATGAAATCCACTTGCAAAGTGTTTCTCCATCCCCTCTTATGGCAGGTCCACACACAAGATAACGGCCTTCTACTGCTACCAGTTATTCCAATAGTTCAAGTAGTAGAGGACTGTGCTGTAGATCTAACAATATCAACAATATCAACAATATCAACCCTGCTGATGACCTATGTCAGGGATCAGCTTGATGATCCAATGAACCAATGAAATGTTTGTTTTTGGGTTGGTGTTTTTTTTTTTAAACATTAAGAAATTACATAAAAAAAAACTATGGTAAAAGAACATTAAGGTTGTAAAGTCAAGCTATCAAGTTAGGAAATGCCTGAAATAAGGTTGCCTGTGCAACTGTAATTTGGCTCTGTCACAGGTGGGGCTGCTCCACAGTGTCCCTACAGGGCCAACCATGGTGCTGCAGGCATTCTCTATCAAGTTGTGGCCACCTGCTCAGACCAACCTGGCTTGTACCATAAACTTGGCATCAGTTTCTAAACCCCTGAGTTTCAGAATTTGGCTGTCTGCACCTTTAAACAAACAAAACAAAATAAACAAACCAACCAACCTTTAAACAAACAAAACTCAAAAGCAAGCTCTTAGCTGCAGTGCTTGAGGGCAAGTCCCAGACTTGGCCCTGGGGTTTTCGCATAGCACTGAGAGCTCCTCCTCTGTCCCAGTCTCATCCTGCACTGAGAATTGGATGAGACGTGGATCCCTCAGAAGAGGCAGGCAAGCCTTCTTAACTAGTCTGCTGGCTCCTGATTGGTCACTGTCTCCAGACCCATCTCGGCCTCTGGAGGACTAAAACTTGTTGGTACCCTGGTCTGAGCAGGTTTACTTTTAGCTGGGAGTATCAGAGAATGTCCAGCAGGGGGCAGAGAAGGCCTGATAGACCCTATCACACACCTCCCCCTGCAGAATGGGCTTTAGGGCCCAATCTCCCCCTTCTGCAATAACCCCACTATCTTGGGAAAAGGAAACTGCAACCTGGTGCTGTGAACCCCTTTGGTTTTGCACATGCAAGGCACATTGTTGCAGCACCAAATACCACCGAGTAACGCCAGGATTATTGTCCTTCGTCGCCTGCAACCATTTAAAGGATGCATGATCCATTATTAGGTAAAAGGGAACCCCTAAAAGATAATAATGTTAAAGCCCTACAGCCAATCTGATGGCGAAGCACTCCTGCTTGATGGTGAAGAATCTAATCTCTCCTCACTGCAGTTTCCAGTGTAGGTATAATACTGGATGTTCCACACCTTGAAAACTGTATGACAACACTGTTCCCAAAGCAATTGGGGAAGTTTGAATTCGCAGGAAAAATGAGCATGAGAAGTCCAGACACCAAAGAAAGTTGACATAGGATAATGAGGTTACTTACCTGTAACTGAAAGTTCTTTGAGATGTTTGGTCCCTATCTGTATTCCACTGAGCATCATGTGCCTGGAGCTGGACCTTTTGAAAGTAGTACTGTTCAGCTGTTGGTGTATGTGCCCTGTGCTGCCTCATGGTCTCGTCCGAGGTGATAAAGGGCCCGTTGGGCCGCCGGCGTCTCCAGTTCCTTCTCTACTACAGAGCTGTTGAATCCGCAGCAGAAGGGAAGGAGGATGGGTTCGCAATACAGATAGGGACCACACATCTCAAAGAACCTTAAGTTACAGGTAAGTAATCTCGTTTTCTTCTTCAAGCGATGGTCCCTATGGTATTCCACTGAGGGTGAGTAACAAATAACCAAGCGTCCGTTGGAGAATCATGCACTAGGCAGTGGTTCTCAAACTTTTGTACTGGTGACCCCTTTCACATAGCAAGCCTCTGTGTGCGACCCCCTTTATAAATTAAAAACACTTTTTAACACCATTATAAATGCTGGAGACAAAGCGGGGTTTGGGGTGGAGGATGACAGCTCGTGACCCCCCATGTAATAACCTTGTGACTCCCTGAGGGGTCCCGACCCCCAGTTTGAGAACCCCTGCACTAGAGTGTAGTGCGTGGAAAAGGTGTGTACTGAGCTCCACGTGGCTGCCTCACTGTCTGCGAGGGACACATTGTGGCGTGCGGCTGTAGTTGATGCTTATGATCTCATGGAATGGGCCTGAATCCCTCCAGGCGGGGATCATCCTGATAGCAGCATGTAATGCACCCTTAGATCCACTTGGAGATTCTCTGGGTGGAAATAACTTGCCCTTTCATTCTCTCCACTATGGCAATGGAAAGCCCAAGGGATTTCCTATACAGCTTTGTCCGCTCAAGATAAAAAGCCAATGCCCTTCGAACTTCTAGTGAAGCCTTCTTTCCTTATTCGAGGCTTGAGGAAGAAGGTAGGTAATTGAGGTGGAATTGGGAAACTACCCTGGATAGGAACTTGGGGTGAAGGCATAAAGACATCTTGTCTTTATAGAAAGTGGTAAAGGGGGGGGTAAGCCATCATGGCTCCCAGTTTGCCACTCGTCCTAGCCGATGTAATGATGACAAAGAAAGTGACTTTCATGGAAAGGAGAAATAGTGAGCATGAAGCCGTAGGTTTGAAGGGGTTGGACATCAACGAGGTGAAGACTAGGTTAATGTCACACTGGGTGGCAATAGGCTGAATGGGGGGTTATTTTCACAGAAGATACTTCCAGAACAATACAGTTAATGGGTGGGTAAAGATTGAATGGCTGTCCTCCAGTGGGTGAAAAGCACTAATGGCGGCTGCATACAACTTAATGGAACTGAGGACCAGTCCTGAGTCCTTCAGATAAAGGAAATAGTCCCAGAGTAGTGGGATGCTTACTGCTTCAGAGACAAAGCCCTGCTGGATGGCATTCCCAGGCAGCGAAACACATCTATTTGGCTCGATACAAGTGTCTTGTGGACTCCTTCCTCCTGCTTGAGAGGACATATCACACTGCCAGAGAGCATTCCTGCACTAGTGGACGTGTCCATCCAAAACCCAACCCATCAGGTGAAGAGTGTGCAGGTTAGGATTAGAATTTAAAATTAATGGAGATATCCTATCTCCTAGAACTGGAAGGGACCTTGAAAGATCATTGAGTCCAGCCCCCTGCCTTCACTAGCAGGACCAAGTACGGATTTTATCCCAGATTCCTAAGTGACCCCCTCAAGGATTGAACTCACACCCTGGGTTTAGCAGGCCAATGCTCAAACCACTGATCAATCCCTCCCCCTAGTTGGGGGAGGGATGGGGTGTCTGAGTCTGCCGTTGTATTGGGTCAGCAGCTCTGGCAATGTCCAAAGCGTTAGTGGGGGGTGCTTTGACATGCAGAGAAGTGGGAGCCAAAATTGGCGAGGCCCGAAGGAGGCGATCAGGATAATTGTTGCTTTCTCCCATCTGATCTTGTGGATCACTTGTGATAGGAGGGGTTGGGAGGGGAAGGCATAATTCGTCCTGTCCGGCCAATCGAGGACTTTGATTGAGTTCCAACTCCTCCCCTTGAACAATACTGTGTGCATTTGGTATTGTCGTGGGATGCATAAAGATCCCTCACTGGGGTTCCCCATCGGCCAAAGAAGTCCATCATTATGGGGCTGTGCAACTCCCATTCGTGGTCGGTTGCAAAGTTTCTGCTGAGAGCACTGGCAATCATGTTCTGGGTGACCAGTAGATAGGCTGCTGTCAAAAATGGTGCACTATTCCCAAAGATGCATAGCTTCCACACACTGGGCTCAAGAGCTTGTCCCCCCCCCCAGCTTGTTTATATAGAAGACCGTGGTGGTATTGTCTGACATGACAAGAACGTGTTGGTCCTGGATGGTTGGAAGGAACGCCT